CGATATAATTACATCATTCAGTGAAATTTCGGGATATAAAATCAATAAGACAAAATCCTCAATCTTATTACTCAGCGCAGCTGATAGAATGACGCCAATCCCAGAGACATTACAATTTAATGTTGTATCACAATTTGAGTATCTGGGACTACAAATTCTATCAGATCTCAAACAAGTTGTTGAAGCAAACTATAATATTATTATAAAGGAAACAAATTACTCCATGGATAGATGGATGCCCTTAACAATGTCCATGATTGGGAGGATAAATATAATTAAAATGAAAATATTGCCTAAATTTCTATATGTGTTTCAGAATGTTCCCTTCTCGCCTCCTATTGGAATGTTTCAGCAAATCAAGAAACTGTTGATTCGATTTATATGGAAAAATAGAAGATCTAGGCTCAGACTAACTTTAATGTACCTACCATACGATCGTGGAGGTCTAAGATGCCCAGACTTTCAGGTATACTATTGGGCTACACATTTGAGATCTATGTCATTTTATTATTCCTCCAACCCTCCACAATGGGTAGATATGGAAGCTCAAGGACTACAGCTAGCATTTCCCTCATACTTGTATTCAAACTCAATAAAAAAATTACAAAAAAATACCAAAAACCCGATTCTTAAAAATATGATTAGGGTATGGAGAGATGTTAACAAACTGTTACAAGACACATATAGTCTATCTCAATTCAGTCCAATTTGGGGCAACCAGATGTTCATACCCGGTAGAGATGATGTAGCTTTTAAAATATGGTACAATAAGGGTATTGAACAAATTCAAGATCTCTATTTGCCTGACTCAGATGTGCTAATGAGCTTTCAAGAGCTCCAAAATAAATTCCACTTAAATAAAAATCAATTTTTTAGATACCTCCAAGTTAGAAACTTTATATTGAAGGAACAAAATAATCAGCTGTTAAAACCCACTCTTACAACACTAGAGAAAATGTTGATAAAGGATAGCCAAAGAAAAGGTATAATCTCAGACTTTTATAATTTAATGACATCTCAAATTTCAGAAGGTTCCACTGACAGACTCAGAGCTTGGAGAGATGACCTTTCATTAGATCTGACAGAGGAAGAATGGCAGAAAGCTTGCTCTTTGGCTCATACCCGATCAGTTAATACACGTCTTCAATTAATACAGTTTAAATGGTTGATGCGTATGTATATAACACCAGTGGATATAAATAGATATAATGACAATATACCTGATGTGTGCTCAAAATGTGTAATGCAGAAAGGTACATTAGTACATTGTATGTGGTATTGTGAAAAAATAATACTTTTTTGGAAAGAAGTTAAGGTGATGATGGAAAAAATCATAAGTAAATGTATTATTATGGACCCTAAGTTGTTTTTGTTTGGGCTCTATTCTGAGAGGCACAACTACACGAAAAGCGAACAGACTTTCCTGGATATTGGACTTTTGATTGCTAAACGATGTGTAGCACTACACTGGAAGAAGTCCCACAGACCAACTGCAAATCAATGGTTACGACATATGACATCAACTCTTCCACTTGAAAGGATTACTTATATATTGAAGGGCAAAAAAGACAAATTAAAAAACAGTTTGGAGACCCTTCATCTTGTATATCAATAACTTGGAGACAGAAGATGATCAGATTCTGAACTGCTCAAACCTTTAGAGAATGTAAGGGCACTTTGTATATATATATATTTTCTTTTTTATGTTGTGTTGGATTTTGGTTAACAATTTGTACCAAATACTGTATACAAATTTGATTTTTGGAATATTTTTATTTATAAAAACTGCAAATAAAAAAATTTTGGGAAAAAAAAAATGTTGGACTTCCTGAGATTTGATTTTAACCCAGGTGTCGTCAACATACCTGAACCAATGACTTGGTGGTGTCCCTGAAAAGGACGTCAAGGCTCTCTTTTCTACCTCCTCCATGTACAGGTTGGCAACAAT